AGGGTGACTGTGGTCATGGTGGCAGTGGTCATGGTGGCTGTGGTCGTGGTGGCGGTGGTGATGACAGTGGTGATGGTAGCACAGGCCATGCTGGCGGCCATGGTGGCAGTGGTCGTGGTGATGAATGAGGGTGATGGTGATGGTGGTAATTGTGATAATGGAGATGTGGGATTTGCAAATATAACACCCACCAGTATCAGCTCATGAGCCGACCTGTCCTGCTTCAGCCCGAGGTGAGCAGGGGGCAGGACCCTGGCAGGTACCCCTCTCAGAGGCTGGCTCAAGGCTTCCAGCTCTCCTTGTCCTGGGCGCTGGCCTCCTCGGCCCAGGGCTGCTGTTGAACATGGCTCTCCCTGCTGGAAGGGGTCCACCCCGTCCACAGAGCTGGCTGCAGCCTGGTGTTCTCAGGACGTGCTGAGTGAATTATGTCGCGTGATCAATCTTGGCACTGTGCTATGCCGTGTTCAAATATCACACGGTCCCCAGGTACCTTGTAAATCACTGTAATTAGGGGCTGTTCACGTAAAATTAGAGCCCAATTTTTTAAAAAGCAAATTGCCCAGGAAGACACGTTGGTCGTGGCTGGGAGTATTTATGAGCTGACGAGGCCTGTGCGTGGAGGTGACAGGTGCCACAGTGAGGGGACACGCAGCCTCATGATGCCGGGCTCCACGCCTCCAGCCTGGCCAGGCCTCCTCCAGCAGAGGCAACCACCAGAGCGTGGACAGTGATACAGGCCCCAGCACTGCCCTGCGGTCAGTCCCATGAGGGCAGAGCTGACCTGGTCAGACATTTATGCACGCTGAATACCTCGGGGTGAGGTGATGGCCTCACCCTGGCCAGAGGACAGCCTCAGGGCAGGTGGTCCTGACCCCCTCCAACACCACCAGAGGGGGCCACACCCTAGCAGTGAAGGTTCCCGCCCGCTCCCTCCTGATGCCCCTCCATCAGGGAACGCCATGCCTCTCCCACAGCTGCCACCTTCACGGAAGTGACTGGTGGGTTCAAACTGCCACTTCTTCAGTAATCAGTCAAATGCTTAAACTGAAGCACCACCAGCAAACTGGGGCCTATTTTAATAATGTTTATACATAGCAGTAGGGCACTCAAGTGGCCTAGTGGCAAGAAGCTGTGCTGCAATCCTGAAGGCACTTGGTTCGAGGCCACCAGCTGTTCCATGGAAGAAGGATGGGCAGTTTCTTTCTGTGCAATTAACTGCCTCTGAAAACCCGCTGGAGGGTCAGCTATGAACCCGCTGGAGGGTCAGCTATGGGCCAACTCTGACTCCATGGTATACACACCACCAGCACTTGGCAGTGGTACCACGTTTTTAGGCCTTGTATTGTATCTCCCAAAATAAGTGTTGCACAACCCAAGGCCACACCCGTGGGAGGAGGAGGAGGAGAGGACTTCACGTTACGGAGATCTGCCACCAACACCCACAGCAATCAGGAAATCAGAGGATGTGCTGCTCTGAGCAAATCAGCTGCCGAAGATGTGCACCTGCCCTAAACCGCGTCACATGGAGGCTGGACAACGAGGCAGGAAGACAGAGGAGCAATGAGGCCGGTGAAGTGCGTGGTGGAGTCCACGGAATGTCCCATGGACTGTCAGAACAACAAACAAACACGTCCCGGAGGAAGTGTGGCCAGGTGCTCCTTAAAGTCAAGGATGGTGAGGTCTCGTCTCACCGCTGTGGACAAGCTGTCAGGGGACCCGCTCTTG